AGTTCTTTTTCTGGAGTTTTCTTATTTTCTTTCATTTGGGACACATTTCTTTGTTTCCTCATTTTGACTGCCTCTCTATGTGTGTTTTTATGTATTATGTAGATCCGCTATGTCTTCCAGTCTTGGCCAGGTAGCCTTATGTAGTAGGTTCCCTGTGGGGCTCTAGCAGTCCCTGTGGTCACCTGCTCCGGGTGCTCCAGGAGTGTCCCGTGTGTGAGTTGTGTGTGCCCTCCTGTTATAGTTGAGCCTTCGGGCCGGCAGAGTGGCTCAGTTGGTTAAGAGCTCACTCAAGAGTGTGAGCTCTGAGAAACAGTGGTTCAATGCCCGGCCCAAGCTGAGCTGCTGCTGAGCTGCCAACAGGTGGCAACATCTACAGCTTATGGGCTATTGTACAGGGGGCTTACCCTACTGAGTGGGATTCACCCCAGTGGGCTCTGGTGTCTGTTGAGACCACCCTTTGTGTGTGCCACTTGTGGGGCTAATTGGTCAGTGCTCTGCTGTGGTCTGAAGCCAACCTTTAAGTATGTTGGTTCTGAGACCTCTTAGGAGGGGCTCCGGTGCAGGCCCAGGTCACCCATTGCCTGTGACTGGCTGGGGGCTACCTGGTAGGAGCTACAAAGCAATCCGCAGTTGTTCACTGCCTGTGCTAAACCTGGAGGTATGAGGGAAAGGCCATGCTGAGAACCAAGGACATTTGCACCAGTACCAGGCCTGGGGTAGCTCTGCAAAAAGCCAGGACACCCCAAGGCCTGCTGCCACTTGCCAGCTCCCTTAAGTTTCAGTCGTTGATGGAGCCTAGTGCAGTATGCAAGTTGGCTGAGTCAGGGTCTCAGGTAGTCACTAGAGTAGGAAGAGTTGTGGTCACCTGGTTAATGTATCGGGCTGTCGGAAAAGTCATGACATATTTTTTCTGTTTTTCATTGCAAAAATGCGTCATGAGTTTTCCGACAACCCAATAAATTCTGGTTTGGTGCTAGTGCTGATCTTGGAATGACTTAACAAAAGTCTCAGAGCACACAGAGGCCAGTCACGGCCATCTGGGGCCTGCCGGATTGATAGTTTCCCAAGAAAGAGTGCAGTGTGGGTGGGGCTGGCTGCTCTCCAAAGTGCCTCTGGTGTTGGACGAGTTGGGTGGGGCAGGGTCAGAGAAGTTCACCAGGCCAACCAGATTGAGATTTAGCTGGAAGCATAGGGGGAGGGCTCAGCACAGGAAAGATGGCGCCTGCCTACTGGCTGCACGGAAGAAAGAAGCCTTACAGGGAAAATAGCAACTGTCCTCCAGCCCTCGCTCCAAGCCACACACCTCAGTCTGCCCCTCATGTGCCTCTGACATCCCTCGAGTCACCGTCCCTCCGCCGGAGCCCAAGGTGAGTGTCTAAGTGAGTGAGTCTGTGCACAGGCTGTTTAAGAGGACGGCTGGGTTTCCCACAGCCTTCTGTCCCACTTGGCCAGTGGGAATCCCCACTGTTTTTCGTAGTCAGATATTGTGGGGGCTTTTCTTCCCAGCACAAGTACTCCAGGCTGGGGAGTCTGGTGTGAGGCGAATGTCCCTCGCTCCTCCGGGGGAACCTCTGTGGCTGAGATATCCCTCCTGATTCTCAACTGCAACGCGGAGTTTTGGGGCCTGTTTTGCCTCTCCGCCCCTCTTACCAATCTTGATGTGGCTTCTTTTTTATATTTTTAGTTATAGGACTTCTGTTCAGCTAGACTTCAGATGGTTCTCCAGGTTGATTTTTCTATAATTCAGTTGTAATTTTAATGTGTTCACGGAAGGATGCAGGCACAGTGTTTATCTATTCTGCTGTCTTGGATTTCTATTTCTCCATGTCTTAAAGCTTGTTCAACTTGCCTTAATGCCTAGGTATTCCAACTTTCATTTGGTAACAAATAGCTGAATTATAATGCTAATCTTACCACCTGGCTGCCCCAACTTTCTACACTTAAACCTTGACATCCTAATTTACTTGTTACAATAGCTTATACTTTTTTATTATGAAAAATAATTTAATAAAATAGTGAGCTTTACATTCATTCATTTGGCTCATTCAAAATTCTTTTAGGGTGTTTATTGATGATATATATGGTAAATATTTACACCGTTGTGATCAGTATCCATATACTTCTCCTTTTCACTTAATTTTATTTTCTTACACATAATTTTTCACATCAAGTTCACCTATTTGTTGTAGTAGATAGTTACTTCTTAATTATCTATGTTGAGACTTTTTAAAAGTTAACTGATTCTAATGTTCAGAGGAAGCACAATTCCTCTGTATCTATCTCTAATGGGTCAATCTAGACCATTTGTCTCATTTCAAATTCCTCCTCAAAGTTGCAACGCCGCTATTTTCACCAGCTGTATCAAATCAGGGCTCATGAAGTGTCAGGCTATAATGTGTGGGTCCTCCCAAGTAATTTTTTTACCAAGTTACACACTGACCCTTTATGCCTTGTTTCATCTTATATTGTTCATTTGTATAGGACCCATTGCATTCTGCCATTATATTTCAGTTATATCATGGGTCAGTGGCTGAAAGTGAAGGTATGATAACCTGTAAACTCCAGGCTATGATTCACAGTGGAAAGCAAACTAAACTCTCTCTACCTCATCCTGCTTCAGTACAAGGAAATGGTGGGGAGCGGAAAGAGGCAGGACCATCTGTACTTTAATAAATTTTAACTTCACCCTCTTCACCTAAATCTAGTCTTCCTCATGTAGACGCGCAAAGGATATACTGCCATTTGGCTTCTCTCCCTGCAGGACTCACATCATCTAGATTAGAGGACCCTTTCCCTGTGGCCCAACAATTTTGCATGACCAGATCAGAGTCAACATTTTCAAAGTATGATTATGCAAAATATTTAGCTATTTCTTTACTGTTTATGATGCAAATAGATGTTACTGAATGTGTTTTGGAGACTTAATGGATAAAGTGTCACATGATATGAGGATCTGGGAACATTATTTGGACTTCCAAATTGTGTCTTAAGCACAAAATTCCCTTCTAAAAGTATTTTCACAATATTTGGTGTTTTCCTGGAAAAAAATCTCTGCTTAATAAAAGCAGATTTCCTGTATAGTCAATATCTTTTGGTGCTTACTATATGCACGATGTTTTTGTCACCAACCGCAAGCCCACCAGAGGGCGCTCATTCTCTGTCTATCCAGCCTTCTCCATCAGCGACACAGAAAATCCAGGTTAAACTTGATTTCCAGATTTAATCCACAATTATTTAGTAAGAATTTGCTGTGCCGCCAGGCGCGGGGCTAGGTTCGCGAGATACAGTGGTGAGTTAGACAGGATTCCTAATACCAGACGCTTGGAGCATAGTAACGACTAAAAGTAAACATCCGGCTACAATAAAGTGGGGTAAGTGAATAGTTTCTAGGTCTGCAAAGTTTGTTGTTTAAATACTGGCGTCAAGCCTTAGAAGCAGGTAACTATTCATTAAGAGATCCCAGACTGCTTCCGCTCTGTATCCTGGGCAACGATCTCCGCGTTCGAAGCACTTTAAGTTAGAGCAAGAGGCCTCTCCTTGGTGGCTCCATTAGTCACCTCCGCAATTTTAAGACTCTCCTCCCCACCCTTGTTTTCTCCAGGGCTTCCTACAGTTCTCTTACTTCTGCCCCAGGTCAACAACTTCAGTTGCGCCCACAACCAAGAGTAAGGGATCGTAACTATCACCCATAGTTGGCCCCGCCCATTCTTTTTCCGGTTTAAAACCCGCGGGCTTTTGCCGTTCTGAATTCCTAGAGTTCCTGTTCTGATTCTCGCGACAGTTTCGAGACACCGCGTCAAGTTCGCTTCCCTTCTCTCTTTTTTGAGCTTGAGAGATGGGGTGACAATGTACTTTCCTTGGCCCACCTCCTCAGAGCCTTTCTGGCGAGGAGTGGCATGTACGCTTCTAGGGGACCCCTAAGTGATATGGCTTGGACAAGTTCAGGTCTGAAGGGAGAGTCGCGACCACACACGGGAACTCTACTCTCCGGGCCTCCAGTGCGCATGCGGAGCCCATCCCGTCCTCGGTCTCAACTGAACTTCGGGGTTGGTTCGGAGCCCCCAGCTGGAACCACGCCGCTGCGGGGCCAGGTCCTTCTGGGTGGAGCCTAAGTACAGTCCCCTCCCCTGCTGTAAAGCTCAGTTTCCGTCGGTCTGCAAGAAACAGAACTGCAGCGCAGCTTCTGTAAACTGCTTGGGGCCAGCGGGGCGGGGCCTGGCAGACAGACCCCCGGTAGGGCGGGCGGGCCTCCAGAAATGCTCTCCTCCCCGCCCCCAGCCCAAAGTGCCACGGTGGCGCTGGGGGCCGCTGCGAGACCGAATGCCTCCCGCCCTGCTAGCCTCTCAACCATAACCTGTAATCCCGACCGGGAGGGGCCCCGCCTACCTCTCCCTTTGGCAGCCGTTCCTCGGACCTCTAATCACTGTTCATCCGTAGTTGAAGCACCTGCCGGATGTGGAGAGGGAGGAGGAGGCCAGATGTGGGGAGGCAGATGTAAGCGCCCAGTCTCTGGTCGGCGCCTTGGTGGGGACGCTGGATGGACAAGCCTACAATCGCCATGGGAAGCCGGCCCTGGGCTGCGGGGAGACGACGTTTGGTGGCCTTGCCCTCCAGGAGCGACCGACTTGGCACCAGAGCTTCTACTGTTTCCCCACTATGTAGTTGCTCTAGCAGACTTACGGGACTGTAAAGTCATATGGGACAGGGCCTAGTCGGTCAGCCAACTCTGCGAGCTTCCTAGACACCTACCCTCCCTCCTCCCGCCCCCACCATCCTCTATTCCCAACCCCCACCTCACCCCCGTCTCTGGTCCTCTCCCAGCTTCGGTGTCTGGTTACTGCTCCTCTATTCTCACTGTGACATTGGCCCAGGCTGGGGGGAAGTGGCCCAGGAGGGTCCCGTGCGGCTGGCCTAAAATTGGCAGCTTCAGACTTGGAGGGGGGATGGGTGCGACGTCGAGGGGCGGGGAGAGGGGCGGAGGAGCTGCTCTCTTAGTCCAAGTCCGTGGGCTCTCTCAGAGATCCTCAAGCCGGACGGAGCCAGGGTGGCCAGGGGGCCCAGCCGATTGTTCGCCTCTGCTTTCTTTTCACTGCCTGCTTTTTTCAACTGAAGTCACTGCTTCTCTGGAGGGCATAGTCTCCGACACTAGGTGAGCGCTGTGGACCCCAGGGCATCAACCCCCCCTTCCTTCCCACCCTTATTAACAATTCTTTACTTCTCGAGGGGCCATCCGTTCCAATCCACCTTTAGGACAGGAAGCTTCAGAGTTGAATGGTGTGTAGTGGTGGTGCTGGTGGTGTGCGTGTCTGAGCTTCATCACCCCTTCTCAACACTCTCCACCCCCCCCCCCAAGAATAGTCCAATTAGTTACCATCCAGCATTACAGGATGACCCCTAGAGGGTCACTATGCCTCTGTTGAGGGTATACTTAACTCCAAGGTGGCAGGGGAGGGGGCAGTGCTAGGGTCAGACTTTGGTATGAGGCACAGCGAGGTTGCTTCTGACCTCCGGACCTGGCTTCCCTCCCTGTCAGGGTGCTACGAACGCGCGCTGATGCCCTGAGTGCTCGCAGGGCTTCCAGCTAACCATGCTACAGCCACTCGCAGATGCCTTGGCGCTGCCCCTGCTACTGCTGCTGGTGGTGCAGGCGCCGCCCCTGACTGGCGCGCGGCCGTCCCCAGGCCCGGATTACCTGCAGCGCGGCTGGCTGCGGCTGCTGGCAGAGGGCGAGGGCTGCGCTCCCTGCCAGCCAGAGGAGTGCGCCGCGCCGCGGGGCTGCCTGGCAGGCCTGGTGCGCGACCCCTGCGACTGCTGCTGGGAATGCGCCAACATCGAGGGCCAACTCTGTGACCTGGATCCCAGCGCCCACTTCTACGGGCGCTGCGGCGAGCAGCTTGAGTGCCGGTTGGACGCAGGCGGAGACCTGAGCCGCGGAGAGGTGCCGGAACCGCTGTGTGCCTGCCGCTCGCAGCACCCACTCTGCGGTTCCGATGGCCGCACCTACGCGCAGATCTGCCGCCTGCAGGAAGCGGCCCGCGCTCGGCCGGACGCCAACCTCACCGTGGCGCATCCAGGGCCCTGTGAATCGGGTATGCCCGGCCGGGGGCCCCTACTCCCAGCACTTGGGGTTCCTCGAGGCACTACTACCCGACCCCCAACGGCATTGCTCTCTGGCCAGCGGAGCGAGAAAGATGAGGCATCTAGTCCGGTCTAAGAGCCCATTCTCGCTGCCGGTCCACAGAGGCCGCTGCCTGAAAGTGCGGGTCTGAAGCTTTGCGTGAAAGCTCCAGACCTGACTGGCATAGACCATCCCTCTGAGGGTGCAGGCACATAGCCAGTGGTTGGCCTCGAAACTGAGAAAGTGAAGAGACTCCCAGACTATGCCCAGACCGCTGGAGCCCAGGCAGGGAGACTTGGGTTCCTGTGAGATGCAATCAGGTTTCGTTTGGGTGGCTTCATAGAGCAACCTGTTTACCCAGTCCACCCGCTTCTCCCCCCACTTCTGCGCCAAGGGATTAGTGAGGGAAGGGGCTCTTCTAGCTCCTCCTCCCCCCATCCCAGGGGACTCGGGGCCATTCAAGCCTCAAGTTTTATTTGGCAGCTTTAGTAACTTTCACTTCCTGAGCCCCTTTGAGGGGTCTGGTTTGGCTGGGGCTGCCAGGAAAACAAACACTTGGTGGGGGTCCCAACACTTTCTCCCTCAACTCCAGGCTTTCTGCCTGCTGCCCAGGTGGGTTTCAGGTTGTCTGCCTTTGCCACTTGGGACAACCCCCAGCCCCAGGATGGAGTGGGGGAAGGTCTGCTGTTTGGGCCTTTGGCAACTGGACTTGGTTAGAAAAGGGGGAGGGTGGGCGGAAGGAGGTGTTGGTTACAAGTCCAGCCGGATAGGGGCCTAGAGGGTGGAATGAGGACAGGGGAGCAATCGGGGACACAGTGTGGCTGCCAAGCGGAGGTGTAGGTCTGTGCGCTTGTTTGTGCATCTTGTCTGCATGTACATCTCCATCTCTGCATTTGCACCCTGTGTGTACCTGCATCTACCTTGGTAGGCATGTCATGTCGTGTTCATGGAGGTGTATTTACCTCAGCATATACTGTGCTCTCCCACAAACATGCTCACAATGGTTCACATATGGGGTCCTTGCTGGACTGCATGTGCCATCCTGTTCTCAGGCCTCCCACCTCCATCCCCAGAGCCCCAGATCGTGTTGCACCCATATGACATTTGGAATGTGACGGGGCAGGATGTGATCTTTGGCTGTGAGGTGTTTGCCTACCCCATGGCCTCCATCGAGTGGAGAAAGGACGGCTTGGAAATTCAGCTGCCAGGGGATGACCCCCACATCTCTGTGCAGGTAGGGGCAGGGAGCAGAGCCTCCCCGGGGCAGTCCAGGACCGGCCTAAAGGATCCTACTGACTCCTCCTCTGGCTCCAGTTTAGGGGCGGACCCCAAAGGTTTGAGGTGACAGGCTGGCTACAGATACAGGCTGTGCGTCCCAGCGATGAGGGCACCTACCGCTGCCTGGCCCGCAATGCCCTGGGCCAGGTGGAGGCCCCAGCTAGCCTGACTGTACTCACACCGGGTAAGAGGGAGCCCCGGGCTCTGGGGGCAGGGGAGATAGTGGTGAATTGGGGCCCTTTAGTGTGCGTCAATGTCTGAATGTGCATGTGGGTACACACGCAAGTGTGGCTTTCCCATAGACTGGGATATGTAGGCACTGACAGCCCCTCTTTCCTGTTCTTTCTCCTTTGCCCACATGTGTTTGCAGAGCAGCTGAACTCCACAGGCATCCCCCCACTGCCATCCCTGCACTTGGTTCCTGACGAGGAGGTTGAGAGTGAAGAGGGCGATGATTACTACTAGGTCCGGAGCCCTGGCCCGTGGGGGTGGGTGAGTGGGGGGAGTGTTCATCCCTGCTCTTGAAAAGACCTGGAAAGGGGGAGCAAGGCCCCTTCACAGATAGATTGCTTTAATGCCCTTGGTAGGGGAGATGTGGTGGTGGTGGTGGTGATAGGAGATAAAAATTGAAGGAGGGTAAGGAGAGAGGCAGGGGATAGGAGTGGTGGGATACAAAGGGGCCCATGCAGAAGAAGATGCTTGGACCAACCAGGTGGAAGGCAACAGCTGCCTGCTGGTCTCTAGGCTGGTGGAGGGTTGGGGGGAGTGGAGTAGACACAAAGAGGTGCAGACACCAGGTGTTCCTCCCCTGCTTTCCAGCAGCCCTCCCTCCAGCCTGCTCAGCTAGTCTTCCTAACTGCCCTTCCTCACAGCTCCTGCTGTTATTTTCCTAGCCCCCAATCTTTGCCTGGCTTCAGTTTGCTCTTCCTCAAAACTCACCTTCAAGAAAATTTCCCTCTCTGCCAAGTCCCATTTGCACTTATTTAAACTGCAGTCCTCTTTGCTGTTCACTGCCTGCTGTCCAGGAGAGCACAATGGAGCCTGGTTTAGTTCATTGCAATAAGACGAGCATTTGGGCGTATCTCATTTCCCCTGTCACTCTGGAAACTCCACGAGGCCAGCACATATCTTATACCACTTTGTATTGGATGATGCCTAGCACAGGACTGGGCACAGTGGGCATGCAATAAAGATTTATGGACGAACTGAGACACACAGATGAACAGATGGTTCATGTAGATGTGCATACTCGTATAGAGACAACATTTCACGGTAGTAGGACTCTGGCTTTCAGAAGCTGTAGGTCCTGCTCCCTAAGCATATGTCTGCCAGATGTACAGAGAGGGCTCTTGCGCTGGGGCCTACCCTGCCCTCTAGGGAGGAAGGCTGGAGCCATCTGGGTGGAGGGAGGGTATCCTTCCAGTCTGCTCTTCATCAGTGCTAGTCTAGAGATAGATTGCCTGCCCTTCTGTTCATCTTACTCCCCAGGCAGAGTAGGGAACCACTCTCTAGGTAGGACCCAGTCTAAAAGCACGAACTGGATGGAGGAAGGGAGAAGTTTGGCCACCGGTATGGGCTGCACCCTCAGATTCCCCTCGGAATCCATCCATTTCCCTGCTGAACCCAGACAAATACACAGCTTGTTCCTTCATCTGCTCCAACTGTGACCTGTTCTATCCTACTGGGAGGTCCCTCACACAGAGCCAGACTCCTTCGCTCTCCAAAACTCTCCCCGCACTCTCTTTACCTAGCCCCAGAGACACTGGTGAGGCGCAGTGTTTATTGACTGATTAAAGGGGAAGATGAAAGCTTAAGTTCTCAAGGCCACATAGGGTGGCAACTGCCTCCTGCACGCCTGGGCTCCGCCCGGAGCCTGGCGCCACCATGGGAGAAATCACAGTTGGTTCGGTGTCTGAGCTTGTCCTCTGGGGCCCAGCGCAGGAGCCAGGAGCCGGGCCTCTTGAGAGGGGCGTGGTCTGGAACCCCAACCCGAGGGCTTGGCTGCCCCTCTCGAAGAACAGCAAGGCTCCTCCAGAGACTAAGCCAGGGGACAGTTCTCACTGCGGAGTCCTGGTTGGAGGCCCAAGGCTCCAGGAGCCCTCGACGCACTTGGGGCAAATTCCAAGGCCACTGCAGAAGCAGGTGTAGGGATGTGAGCAGTGTGGCGGAGGTAGGGGGCTCGTGCTTTTTGGCGTCCAGACCAGAAGGTGATCTGCTCCGCGCTGATAGAGGAGATGTGGGTCTGGGTCCTGCAGCAGCCTGGGAATCAGCCCCTGGCTTGTTCTTCGTGGGGGACTCCAACCTGGTTGGGCTCAACGGCGCCCCCTGATGGGTCCGTTGATGCTAGGGCGCCCACCTGCAGAGCAGAGGCTCCACCCAACTCTAGAGAGTCACACACTCAGCTGGGAATCCGTACTTCTTGATCGCTTTTGCAGACTTTGTGGGATGTTCTAGTTGAGCCTCCTTACAGCCTCAGTTTCCCCCTTCGTGGCCCTGCAGGTTCAGGCCCCACAGCTTGGAATAGGAGGAACCCCTGCTGCGTCCTCCACCCGCTATCCCCACCCCCTGCCTCCGCTCCAGCGGATGGGCTTTAATAACGTCGCTGGAAAGTGACACGCGATTTATTATTAAAGTAATGCGGGGACGGGAAAGGTTTAATAAACGCGCTGCGATGCCGAGGATTATTCACCGCAAATAAATGAGAGCGCGGGCGTCGTTTTAATAAATAATTTCCCGCCGCTCCCGGGGGAGGAGAGGCGAGGAGGAGGTGGGGAGCTGAGCTGCTGCCAGAACTCCCGGCTTCGCCTCCCCACGGGTTTCCAAGCCGTCCCCGCATTTTTCGTCCTAGGTTGCTCACACCCGACAAGTGAGGCTCCAGGAAAGCTGACTTGGAGTGGCCCAGGAGAGGTGCGAGAGGCTCTGTTCCACCCCACTCCCCCCCCGCCCCCCCCCCGGGATTTTAAGTAGTTTGCTTAAGATGAGCAAATGCTCTTCCTTCCCATTCCGAACCAGAGATTCGGAATCAAGACTGGACCAGCGCAGGAAGGGTTAGCCGGCACCAGCTCCTCCCAAGCCGAGGGTCCCAGGGTCTGGCCATTGTCCTCCAAGCTTTTGGCTGACTTGGGCTGGGCGTCCAGGACAGGATGTAGGGAGCATGCCGAAGGGGGCTGTGTGTGCAGGTATGTAGGTGCCATGTGTGTGCAAATGACCCTGACTCCCTTCTCGGGCCGTCGTGGAGAATGGGGCCACGAAGTCTGTCTGCTCTTTACTACGAAGGCCCGGAGAAAGGGTCCTCGAGTCTGGTCTGAACTGAGGGCGCCCTGGTGAAGCCCACCCCCTGGCTTGCTAGTGAACCCGGGTGGATCTGAGGTCAGGCTGAGAAGAACTGAAGCCTTAAGCGGGAGTCCGCCCCTTTCACGGAAGCCTGGAAGCTCGAGAGGGTGAACCCGATTTCGGAGAGGGCCGAGACCGCAGACTTTGGGAACCCACTGCGCTGATGGGTAGGCGAGGGAGAGGTGGGGGGAAAGCTCCTGGGGTACAACGGCTCCGCAAGTTTTGTGCCTCTGCCGAAAGACGCGGCATATCTGGCGACACCTCTGGCAACACTTGGGAGTACAGGAAGTGGCAAAAGAGTGCCACCTGGTGGAAATTTTGGGTTATGGCAGCCAGATCTGGGCCATTTAACTTAAGACAGTTGAATTGACCGAAAATTTTTGAGTAAAAAGGTGCTTCACTTTGCATTAATTTATATATGTGAAGGTGCACATGTATGTGTATTATATATGTGATATCTGTGTAATAAATATCACGTTCATAGTAGTTATATGTGTATGTGTATCTATATGCACTGTATATAAGGTGTACACGGTCTGACAATTAAGTTCACGAACTCAACCTAGAAAAAGTGCCACATACCTCATTGCTGAAAATCACTATGGTCACCTTCGAAGTACTCCCTTTGGGAAGCTATGCACCATCACCAGCGCCTAGTCCACCCTTCAGAGCAATTTTGGAACTCTTTTTCTGGCATGGCCATCAGAGCTGTCATGGTATTACCCTTAATGTTCTGAATGTCATCAAAATGTCTTCCTTTCAATATTTCCTTTATCTTCGGGTTAAGAAAGAAGTCATTGGGAGCCAGATCAGGTGAGTAAGGAGGGTGTTCCAATACAGTTATTTGTTTACTGGCTAAAAATTCTCTTTGCTTTTGTTCATCGGTGAGCTCCTTTGGGACCATTTTTGCACACACCTTTCTCATGCAAAGATTTTCAGTTAAGATTTTCCTAACTGTTTCTCTATGGATATTTACTTGGTCTGCTATGCTTCTCACAGTCAGCTGACAATTTTGATGCACAATTCGACAAATTTTTGCAATGTTTTCATCAGTTCTGTTCGTTACTGGTCGCCCTGACCTTTCTTCATCAGTGACGTGTTCTCTCCCCTCAGAAAAACTGTTTAATCCACTTGTACACTGCTGTTTTCTTTATGGCATTATCCCCATAAACTTGGACTAACATGTCCCTGATTTCACTTCCACTCTTGCCAAGTTTAACAAGAAATTTAATGTTTGTTTGTTGCTCTAATTCAAGCTCAGACATTCTCGCGATGGCACACAAAAACACGCAACAACAATAATGAACGCCACTCAGCAAGACACCGCCATGCGTCGACATGAACACAGCTGTGAGACACTGATATACCAAGGTTGTGAAACCTTACCGAGCTATTTGTACAGTGCTGCCAATGTAAATGCACAGTGGCAAGTTCGCGAACTTAATTGTCAGACCGTGTCTGTAGCATTTTCTAGGATGAGTTCTCAAACTTAATTGTCAGACGTCATATATGAATGTATTGCTATATGTGTATAAGCTGAATGTGTACATTTATTTGCAAGAACATGTTCCATTATATGCCATTCTTTCAACAAATATTTACTTTTTTTTTACAACATTGTATAGGACTGGAGATACATCACAGAAAAACACATTGTCCCTGCCCTCATGGAGCTTATATTCTATCCTAAGATGTGCATGTAAATTATATACATGTATGTTTACAGGATTATGTGCACATGTATGTGAAACTCTGCTAATGTGCATATATGTAAAGAGTAGACAGGCTTAAACACTCTCATGGGCTTGGAGATTCCCTGTTTTTTTTTTTGCTCAAAATCTCAGGTCCTGTCACCTAGGACTATTCTACGTGTGCCAGCAGCTAAGGGCAGAGGGAAAGAGGCTGGAGACAGGCGGATTACCTCCTAGGACATATTTCGGTTATTTCCTCAACCCTCTGAGTGACTAGATTCTTTCTAAAATAGGGAAAAGCTATGTAAGTCCACTTAGAGTAAGGACATGTGAATGAAGACCAAATCTCACCTCCACTCAATGCTAAGCACCTTAGGAGGAAGAAGGAGGGGCTGGGGATGGGGTCTGGGAGGCTGGGGATAGGAACAGGTTCTCAGAGGGCAGTGATAAGGGTGAGGGCATTTAGAGGCTGGGGGCGGGATCAGGTCTGGGAGGTCATAATGGGAACTCTGGGAGTCAGTCGCAGATAATGGGGGTAGTTAAGAACTCTTGGGGGAGGGATGGGCTGGCGGATAGAGATGGGACCTGAGGGGAGTAGTGAGGTAGGGGTGGAGTTGGGGGAATAGAGACAGAGGCTCTGGTGGCAGGATTACACCAGTCTTGGGGTGGAATTGGGAGGCCAGCTCAGATGGAGTCATCCCTCCCTTTCTCCTACCCGCCTTCTCCATGCCAGGGGCGCTTAATGTTCTCCAGTCCGCTCTCTGCTCAAGCTGGGTCCCAGATGTGCTAGGAGCAGAGAAGAAGAGCTTAGGCTTTAGGGCTTGTCCTGGCTTAGGTGACTCACTGGTGGGTGAGGTGAGTCAGTGCTCACAACACCACTGTCCCATGAAGGCTCGTCCCAGCTACCTGGGTCATTGCCTGTCCAGCTGCCATTATCAGCTTCCAGTTTGGGCTCAGCCCAGGGGACTCAAACAAGGGTGGGGCCTGGGCCTGGAAAAGTTTATAGAACATCCCCCAAATACACATTCCTGGAACTGAATTGGAAAAGTTGCTTCTGAATCATTTCTTCCTCCTCCCCATCTTTTGCTAGACGCAGTCAAGGCCAGAAGTCTCCAGGTGCCATCCTCACTCTTGGTCTGTAGTAACACCTCATGCCTGTCCCCTTCCTTCTCAACCTCCCATGCTGGACTACTTGACCCTAAAACCATGGTTTCTGTCCCTTCATTGTATCTCCTCGCTTCCTTCAGTTTCTCTTTTCTTACCAGGGTTGAAATCTCATCAGATTTCTGGGCTGTGCCTCGCTGGTTGGGAGAGTGGGGGAGAGGCTGAGAGGTTCCTGGCCTGGATTTATTTTTGACATTTTCTCTGCCATCTGGGCAACTGAAGGCTCTCAGAACAGGATGAACAGTTATGAAAGTCAGTTTTGGTGATGAATGTTACTCCACAATCAAGTCTTACCCTGTCCCCTTGGTGGGCAGCACCTTGGGAAGCAGGATGGACTTGAGAGTAGTGATGTGGGTCTGGAGTCCCTTGGGAGAAAAGACATAGTCTCTATGAGAAATGATGGGGTCTCCCAGGATAAGAGTTGAGGACTCTAAGGACAATTATTTCTGCCTTCCATCCACCCCACACCCCAAATCACTGGAGCAGGGCTGGAGAAGGACCCACAGGTCTAGACTCAGCTGGCCCTTGTGGGGGTTCAAGTTCTATCTCCAGTTTCCCCGCTCCCCATACCTCTCCCCCACTGTGTGAATAGGTTTCAGAAGGGGTTATATTCTGGGAGCAGCAGTGGGGTCTCTGAGGACAGTGGTCTCTAAAAGGTAATGATCGGTCTTTGGGAGCAGAACTGGGGCTCAGGTCAAGGTGAGGGGACATGAGGTTTTGCAGTACAGGTTTGAATCTCAGTTCTTTTTAAGTGTATACCTTGGGCAAGTTTCTTGGCTTCCCTTGTGTGTCCTCCTCTGCAAAACGGTGATAAAACTTACTCTATAGAGGTTGTGATAAGATTAGAGATCTTACAAGTAATGTGTCTGGAATACAATAGGTATTCAACAAATGGTCAATTTTACTATTACTATTTCTGGGCTGGTGAGCTGCATGGAGATGGAAGCTGGGTACCTAGTGCAGAGCTTCCTGTGTGTGTTAGAGGATGGGGTGACTGCAGTCTTGGCGCCTGCCTGGAGGAGGCCTTAGGAATTGAGCCTTAGGAAGAGGGGAAGGGCAAGGGCGAGGTGTGGGTGGGCAGGAACTGGGCTTCCAGAGAGCTTGGCAGTCTTCACCCTCACCCTCACCCTTCCTCAGGGAGCCCCTGTCAGAACTCAGGGCTCTAGCTCTGGGCTTGCAGGGAGGGGCACCCCCTAAACTCACCTCCATCCATCTCTTTTATCTGGGCTGCTGAAGGGCTGAAGCCTCCAATGGGGCCTCTGATGGGGAACAGATACAGACCAGGCGGAAGCAGCCGGAACTGTGCTGAGCTGGAGCTAAGGACTGAGCCCGGGGGTCAGTGAAGACAGATAAAGCTCAGAGCAGCTGGGGACTCAGGGGACCCAGGGGGAGGGGCAGCAGGGGCTGAGGGCGGGCTATGTCCCGGGAGGAGGTAAGGGCCGGATGCTTCTGATGGGGACCGGTGTCCATCAAGGACTTCAAATAGCCAGACAAGGCCTTTAATCGCTCTTTGGGAGGAGGGAAGGGGCAGAGCTCCGTCCCCCAGATGTGACTGCAGGAAGGTCAGGGTGCCTGCCAAGGATGAGGGCTTGTCCCAGGGAGAGGTTGACCCTAGGAACAGGGGACCTGAGGTCCAGGGCAGAGGCAGGGCTTCTGGGGCTGCCTTACCTTTAAGGCAGGGATGGGAAAAAGGTTGGTAAGCGATTCTTCGGATTCTTCGGTTTTACTTCCTGTTTTAATTAACTTTGAAGGGCTTGGGGCCTCCCTGAACGCCAGGGAAAGGAGCAGAACAGACGTTTATTTTCCTCTTTTCCCTTTTAAAGACAATTTTATTAAATCACTTTGTTTTCATTCTGGCTTGAACATGGGGCATTTAAATGGAAAAGTAATTATTTCACCTCGTTTGCTTATGGAGAAGGGAGAGTCAGGAGAGGGAGGGAGGGAGGCCAGTGAGAGGAAGAGGCTGGCAGCACACACAGTCACCTTCACACTAACACCAGCATTAACGTCCACAATGCCCCCTCACACTGGCACACATTGGGTGCCCACAGGAAGACACACTTTTATCCACACTCTCCCAAATGAAGACATCTCAGTACCTGCAAGCATACATCCACATTCTCCTGGAGACACCATCCTTTACCACAGCCACACCTACACACAAAAGCTCTCTCTCGCACACAGACAACGCATTGTGCCTTCCAAGCACTGTGGGTACACACACACACACACACACACACACACACACACACACACACACACACACACAGCATAGTCAGGTCCCCTGGAGCCTTGAGTTAGTTACATCATCACAAGTACGTGTACAGGTTCAGACACACAACTTGCATTCTCAAACGCACAAGCGCATCCTGACAAGGAAGTCTGGGGACAAACTTGGGTGAGGGGGCACATAGCCATGGAGAATGTGGAAGAGTGGTGGAACTCTCCCTCTCATTGGGATTCCGGGGCCTCCAAATTTACCTACCGCCTAGGCTACTCCAGGAGCCCCTTTCTCTGTACCTATAATATTCTTGGAATGCTTGCCTGTGGCCTGATTCTGCAGCCTCTAGGACAGTGGCTCCCTTCCACCCTCCCGCCCCCCACCCCAGATCCCTGGCGATGGACAGAGAAGGCCAACAGGTCTCCTGGGCTCAGCCCGCCCTCGCCAGGATCCA